GGAGGGGAATGGGTGTAGGGTGGGGGTGGGTCGTCATATGGGGTGTCGAGAAAATTGAGATCTTGTGGGGAAACGGGTTGACCGTATGGGAAGCAAGATTCATCGAACACGACGTGGCGGGACGTAATGATTTTGTGGGTGTCAAGGTCAAGGCAACGGAACCCGCGTTGGTTAGAGGGATAGCCGAGAAAGATGCAGCGGGCAGAACGTGGAGCTAGTTTGTGAGGGGAGGTGGCGGAAATATTGGGGTAACATAAGCAACCGAAAACGCGAAGGTGGTCGTAGGTCGGTGGAGAATTGAAGAGGGTGGCGTGGGGGGTTTTGTTCTGTAAGGTGGTGGTGGGAAGAATGTTAAAGATATGGGTTGTCATGTGGAGGGCCTCAACCCAGAAGGTGGGGGGGAGCTGGGCTTGAAAGAGTAGGGAACGAACCGAGTTGTTAATGGTACGAATGGTGCGCTCTGCTCGGCCGTTCTGTTGACTGGTGTGGGGACACGAGAAACGAAAGAGGATGCCTAAAGAGTCAAAAATATTTTTGAGTGGGGAATTACGGTATTCTGTTCCATTGTCACATTGAACTGCTTTTATTGTTGTGTTAAATTGATTTTTGACGTATGCTACAAAAGAAGTTAAATGATTAAAAACATCACTTTTATGTTTTAAAGGAAAAACCCAAAGATAATGAGAAAAATCATCCAACAACAACATATAAAGTTTAAAACCAGTAATACTTGGAACAGGGGACTGCCACAAATCTGTATGTAATAGTTGAAACGGAAACATTGAAACACGACTAGAAGAAGAAAAAGGGAGGCGCACATGCTTTCCCAATTGACATGCATGACATAAGGAATGTTGATAACTTTTAAACAAAGGAAGTGACGAAATAGTGCTAAGGACAGTTTGACTGGGATGGCCTAGGCGCCGGTGCCAGGTCTGAAGATTGACAGCGGCGACGTTGGCTTGAGCGGCGACTGAGTGTCCTAGGGGGTAGAGGGGTCCCAGATCATTGGAGCGATGTATCACGGTTCCTGTCTGACGATCCTTCACAGAAAAACCATTAGCGTCAAATTCAACAGAACAGTTATTATCGCGAGTGAGTTGACGAACAGAGATGAGGTTGTGGGTGATGTGAGGAGAAATAAGAATATTTTT